GCACTAACAGCAGTGCATACATTTTCTTTCAAAGTCTGCTTTGATGTGAATATTGTGCAACTCTACCTAAAAGTAGCATAGAACTCTCCTAATTATTATTTTTAAAATATGGTCATTTTGCATTTGTGGTTATTGAAGATCAGCTCCTCATGAAGTCCTGGGGCTCTGTAGACTGCTTAGTTTTTTTCTAAAAGAAGAAGAAAACAAACCAAGCAAAACCCAGAAACACACTATGATATTTATAATCACCATCTTAACATGATTATGAAGTATATGCTTCCTTTTCTATAGGTTCCTGAAGTTTCTTATACACAGCTTAGCTAAGCTTGGAGTGTATGTGATAGGTTTCTGACTAAGCAGAGCCATTTTAACATATGACAGAAAGGAGAGAGGCGTTACAGGTGTAGCAGAAAGGCTAAAGAAGCAGGTTGCCCACTTGCCTGAGCTGAAGTGCAGTCAGCCCTGTGGCTGCTCCTGCAGCCATTCAGTGACAGTGCAGCTCTATCTGCAGGTAGCTGATGTTATTTACCTTATTATCAAATATCTGCTGGTCCTTAACTATTTTACAACTGAAATCTACCCAAAGGAAGTGGTTATAGTGCTGAGCTAATACTTACTGTGAGAGAACAGCTGCCTTGAATTAGTATTTCCTTAACAGAGCTTGGGACCATCAGAACCTTTGTTATTATGTGACCTCTCAGCACACCAGTAGTGAAAAAATATTATATTTGTTCAGCTGAATGCTAAGCACCCCTTTGCTTGTTAACCTACAAATTACCACAGCTCTTCCTTAGAAAGAGACAAGTTAAAATATTTCTGTGTCCTATCTATTTGGTTTCCTGTAGATGAGTCATATTCCCAACCACTTAGTGAAATTGGGAAATGTATTGATTTTGGCTTGTAGTTCATCTCCAGTCTAGTCCAGGTTTCCTTCACTTTCAGTTTAGTGCATCTGAGAGGATGGATGAGCTCATTACTGACTTGCTCTTTCTCTTGTGAATGAGTTGAGATGTGGTTGTTTCAAGACACCTCCTAGAGCTGTGTTAAGTTCTGCTGACAGAGTAAAATTGGTCAAAGCTGCTACATGTACATGTGTTTGCATTTTGATATAATGGCTCATGGAAATAAAAAGTCTTTTAACTGTCTCTATCTATTTAAGTTTCATTTACCAGAGATTTCTGTTTTATATCATATGCACCAAGGTTTGAATGCCAAGACAATGAATTGAAGTTTGAGGCCATTAAAGTGGAACAGTTCCAAATGAGATGTTCTGTGAACTGCTTTAGAGCAGAAATAGTAAAGATCAGTAATTCACAAGGCCTTTGTTATTTAGAAAAATTCTGCCCAAGCCTGATTTTCCCTGATTTAGATCCTACTCATTTCTGACAGACACTATAGAGCTTGTACTGCTTACGTGAAGGTAATAGCAGAATAGATTTGTGGAAATCAGTTTTAAAAAAACAAACTCTAATGCTGTGCCTGCAGCTGTTTGGCTTCCCTATCCCCTTAATTTATCTTTGTATGGTTTGGGCTTTTTTTTTTTTAATAAGTGTTGAACTTGACCTAATTTGCTCCAAGATATCCTCAAGGTGTCCCACTATACTTGCTTTCCAGGTTGTTTTGAAGTATATTTAATCCTTTTGATGTGCCTGTTATCCATCTATTTTTGCTGTTTGAAGCATTAGATTTGCTTCAAAATACATATGCCCAAGGGATGATGGGAACTAGTCATTTGAGAGACACTGAATGTAGCTGGGGTTTTTTTACTAACCTAATGTCAAAAAAGCTCCTGGAAAACCGATGCAGTTTTAACATGGTTAAAATTACCAGAAGCTGTCCTTGATGGCTGTGTCTGTGTTAGTAAAAGCTTCTGAAGGAAGCTGCAAAGGGTCTGGAGGTGTAAAAAAAAAATGCCTTAGATTGTTTGGTCTTTTAAACTTAAAAATCCTTTTTTATCTGACTGGACAGGTATCCATAGCAAGGCCTTAAGTCTTCTTTAGAAACATGAAGGAAGGCATTCTGACTAAACTGAGCAGTAGGCAAAAGCACTGCATGGTACAGAGCTCTCATTTCTTAAGGATGGCTGAACATGGGGTGCCTCAAGCTTTATTTTTCCTGTAGAGTCTGACTCTGTGCTCAGTGAAGGTGGCAGAGTTCCAGGGAAGAAATTAGGAGTTTTAGAAGGATTTGGTACTCTTATTTTATTACAGAGAATTCCTGTACAGGAGCGTAGCCTCTCTAAAGCAGATTGGAGTCAAAGGTGGGAGTTGTTTCAGAGTTGTGGTGGTTGCTCTGTTAAACAACCTATGCCTTGCAGTAAAACTGTTCTCCAGTGACAAGTGGATTTTATATAAGATCCTATAAAAGTGTTTCTGCTTCTCTGTTATAAAAAATTGTTAGGATGTATAAGAAAGTCTTTGAAGATTTATTTGACTCCAGAATTATTTAAGCACTGCTTCTACAAAGCTAATAAAACCTGCAATTTGTAGGAAATGTCTGTTTAAAACTATCTTTTTGGGTTGGCCTGTCTGCACATTGCTAAAAAATGGTGAACCTATTAATACAGGAAATGATCATAGAAATGCCTTGGTGCTGTATTAGGAGCTTTTCTACATATTTTAATGAAAGGATATTAAGCACTATATGAGTAGGAGTCAATTTGTGAGCAGGTCTTGTAAACCAGATACAGATGTGTAAATGCCTGTTCCCTTTTCTAAACCAGAGACATGAGGAATGTCTCTGCAAGGGTTTTGAACTTAGGCTTAAGAAGCTTTGGTTGTGCAACTGAATTTTTTTTCCTTACTGTATGTAAACAAAACAAGTAAGAGAGAAACATTACTATGAAAACAGCTGATGCAAATCCCAGATGAGGCTCTAACATTTACATGCCAGACTTCTGGAATTAGAAAGGGGTCACTGTGTAAATGCTTCCAAGTAAAATTTGCTAGTGCTTGACTGTTCCTTGGGCCTGAAAAAGGGATTGTAGAAACCCCAGAATGGGTGTCTGACCCCACGCTCTGGGGAAGGAGAGGGGGCAGCTACTCAGGGGTGGCAGCAGCCTTGGTCAGGAGCGGTGCTGGCAGCACTTCTAGCACATGAAATCCATCAGTCCACCTAAACTGCTTTCCCCTGGATAATTTGAGTCTGCAAGACACTTGTACAGAGGGATGAATACGTGTTGTTAACACAAGAGAAAACGTGCTAGACTCGTTGTGTGGTCTCTCTTCCTAATCAAGTTACTTTGTTTTAAGACTGAGTTTCCATATATTTTTTTTCTGATGTTTCACTATTTGGAGGCTCAGATATTTGTGTGAAATCTGTGTCAAACTGTCTGTGGCAGTTTTTGAAAAAATCAACTGAAATGAAAGCTGTTCCACAGAGGAAAAAAGTGCCGTATTTTTTGCTTAAACACTCAGTATTTTCTACATTCCAAATGGTCCAAGGCAGGGTGTATTGCAGTATGTAAAACATGGAAGCATGTCTCATGATGTCCTCAATTCAAGCCTTTCCCAGGTATAGTGATTCTTTGGTTAACTTCAGAGTTTGGTACCATGTAGTTGGTAATAATGCAGGGTTCAAGTCTGATGGATTATAGAAAATGGCAGACAATACAATTTCCATGATAACTCAACTGCTTTTCCTTTAAACATGTGATTTATTTCCCACAGGAACAATTATACCTGCTGATGAAAGAGAAACAAATGAAATTAAATCTTCCACACTGTTGTACTGAGCAGAATGTAATTTTCTACAAATTAGGGTCAGCTACATGTATAGATATCTCCCTTTTTTCTCCTAGGGAAAACTAATTTTTTAGCCTGCAGGGAACTGGATGGCACTAAGTAGGGTGATGCATGGTGTAGGGATGAAAAACAAAGCAACAAAAAATCACTGTTTCCTCCAGGCAATTTAATGGATCACTTGTAGAAAATGATAGTACAAAAGGGAAATTGCTTTGTAGACTATTGCAGCACAGTCAATTTTGGAAATCATGAGCTAAATTTAGGGCAGTGATTTAGCAGTCAGGATTTCCTGTGCATCTCTGAACAGGACTCATCAACTTTGTGGCTTTACTGGACTAACTTGATACCTCCACAGGTAGAGAAAAAGGCTTTGAGACAGCACAGGGAAGAACTTGCATGTCTGTTCTGGGTGCTAATTTCCTAAACACATGTCTTAAAATAGCAGAAAATTTTGCTGCTTTAATGAGTGAGTACAAACTTGATGGATTAATTATGTACATTTAGGATGAGATTCTGCAGTCATTACAGCATAGATTACATGTCTGCAGATTATTTTAACATGTCTGAAGGAAAGCCTCTTGATTAAATACAAAATGCAAGATTTGACATTTTTTCCTAGCTCTCTGTGCAGGTGGAAACTCTAACTGCATCTAAACTCCATGCCAAATGAATTCAACTGTGTCCTCTCTCTCTTTTCCCCTAAGCTCAGAGTTTTGTGAAAGACACACAGGCAAGTGAAGTAGAAAGGAGTTGCAACATCTATGATTCCAGTCAGAAATTTGAAAATATGTTTAAATTCAATTCTCCCCCATTATGCTTTGTAGTTTTGCCCTGGGGTATTTGCATAGGGGCCCATTCATTTTTGTGACCAAACCTTGAAAATGAGTACTCTTTGCTATCCAAATATACTTGTAAAGTGAGTTCAATTCTTCAAGCAATAACTTTTTCAATAAGATCTTTGCCTCCTAAAACTGTGTGTCATTAAGACCTTATGCTAGGATTTCTTTCTGCTCATTGATTCAGCCGAAGACCGCACTCGTTGTTCAGCCGGGCTGAAGCATTTTCTGATAGGTGACTGCATCGACCCTAGTACTGAAGCAACCTTTCAATAAGCACATCCTTTGTTTGCAGGTGCTTGGCTGGATCAGGAATGGGGAGTCGATGCTCAATGCGAGCCTTGTCAATGCCAGCTCTCTCTCGGAGGCTGAGCAGCTCCAGCGAGAGCACGAGCAGTTCCAGCTGGCAATAGAGGTAACACCAACAAGTTAACTTTGTTTCTCCTTCCCAGGTGTACAGCAGACAAAAAGTTCTCATGGGCATCAATTGTTGCTTTCTTGAAGGAAGGGGAGGAATGGAGGCTTTAGAAAATCAACTTATCACTAAACTCATAATGAAGCCAGAGGCTAACAGTGGAACAAATTATTTATTACCTGCAGCTAATTCTTCTGCTGCCAGATATCAGCTTCTCCATTCATGGAAATGACACTCAGGCATCTCCTGATAATTTCTTTGATAAAAAATTAATAACATTAAAATTCATAAAGTGATCTGCAATGGGAAAAGTTTGTCAAGTCAGTGTCTTTCCCCATCCACATTTTTCAGGTCATTCCACAGCATTCATTTGTGAATATTTTTTTACTGGATAATGCTCTCGCACTAAATGCGTGAGAGCATGATCCAGTATCTTTCATTCAGCTTTCTTTTCATGAACACCAGAAAAGAAACTCATTCCAACCCTCATCCTCAAATAACTTTGACGAAGAGGCAAGAGGGGAAAATTTTAAGAATTGACTCCTAAACTGCTTTTCCCCCTTCTTGCTCTGGAGTAACAACACATCTTTAACCTGGCCATGGGAAACTGATTGTGAGCCAGCCCATTTGCTTCACTCACAGGGCTGGGAGGAAGAGCCCCTGCTCTGACCAGCTTTCCTTTGATTGAGAGGGTAGTGAAGGGCTAAGGTCTGCCCTGAGCAGGGCACTAAAAGATTCCTAATTAAGCTCAGTGCTTCGTGAATCTCTGTTATTTATACTAACAGGGTGTGCTCACATCAGTTTCTAGAGAGGTTGCTTTCTAGCATTGCTTTTTCCTGTTCTGGCTTAAAAGGTGTGTCTGCTTCCCAGATAATATTAATTGTTAACTTTTTACAGAGAAAAGAACAGCTGAAAAATATTCATATACTTGAAAACTAAACCAGCCTTTAAATTCTGCAAGTATGGAGATTTGAAGAGTTGCCTGATTGAGGGTGGGGGGAAGAGGAAGGGATGTCTCCTGGTAAACTTGAAGTCAGTCAATATACATCACTGTGATGCTAATAAGGATAGAGTTTAAATCTCAGCTGATGACTTATTTTGATCCAGCTCTGCTCAGAGTAAGGAAGGAACAGCTGTTGCAGCTCCTAAAGGAAAAGGAAGAAGTTTTTTATCAGTTCTGTGGAGCTGGTTGGTACCAAGCTGTGCTGACCACATCTTGGCAGCTACCCCCAGACAGCAGTGGGGAGGAAGACAACCACCGGCTGAGTTATCCCAGCTTCTGACATTGGGGAAGTGCTTGCATTTGGTGGTAAATGCAAATTGCAGAGGGAAAAGAGGGTTACACCACAGTAAGGGGAAAATAAGTTTCAGAAAGAAAAAACACTAGATTAAATATTTAAAGTATTTAAAGCTCTATATGGGAAAGATCAGCAAAACACACAAAGCAGATTCTTCTCTAAAAGCATTCTAGATGTGGAATTGATTTTCAGTTGAAATCCTTCAAAGTCTATTTCAAACAAGTATTACAATTCTGACATCAGTAAAGCAACTGGATATTAAATTTTACCAGTTGTTCTTTAACATCTTTCTAAGTTTCTGCAAAGTATTAATCCTTTTTGTTTCCTAGTAGCTTTCTCTACATTATATTATTCATCAGTGTATTAGCAGATGATTTCAAGCTTTTTTCCAGGTTCATGGCTTAGATCACACAACTATCACATGAGAATTTGTCAGCAGCAGTTATAAATGGGACATAGCACAGAGGAGTCTGAGAGATTTTAGGGCTTCTGTTCAGAAGATTAAAATAAAATACTGGACTTAACCATGTATGAACACAGTTACTCAGGAGGTGTGAAGGGATGGGGGCTATTTTAGCAGCCCACAGAGGAAGACATAGCCACCACTTGGGAACTGAGGGGAGCTGGTATAGGCTGAGAATGGGCCAGGTAACTCAGTCCTGCCTGTAAAGTGGCTACTGAGCAAACTGGGGAATGGTGGAGGCAGTGGTTTGTCTCTCCCCAGCTCTGACCTTAAAGGTAAGAGCATAAATCTAATCTCCAGTGTGCATGAGCTGACTTTGAGAAATGCATCTTGTAGGGGCTGCTACTTGTGATGAAGTTCATGCCCTTTAGTAAGACATCTTCATGTTTTCTGGGATTGATGTTTTGAACAACTGCACTAGTAAAGCTGCTGATGCCAGGTAAACTGCCTGGTGAGAGCCAAATTAGGATGATCAGGCCTGCAGTTTGCCAACTGTTTAGAGTTTGCTTTTGGGCTGCAGGCAGTGTGGGGTGCAGTCAGCACTGAGGCTGGCTGAGAGCTCAGCACAAGAGCTGCCTGCACCAGGCTCTCAGAACAGACCCCTGGGAACCCCACCCTGTGTTACTGCCCGAGGGGCAAGAGCTGACCAGCATAGCCAACCCATCTTAGCAGTGCTTACATGTTCCAAGCTTTATTAACATGTTGCAAATGTGTGTCAATAACTGAAACTAAGATGCTTTGCAGAAAGTGACTGTTAACCGAAGGTAACTCTGAAAATGTTTCACTCTCTCGCATCCCCATGCTCACGCCTCGCTTCACCTTTCTATCATATATCTGGCACATCTGTACAACCTCTCTTTCCTCCCCTCATACACAGTCCCTCTTTCATGCCACTTCCTTACAGAAGACACACCAGAGTGCCCTGCAGGTCCAGCAGAAGGCCGAAGTGTTGCTGCAGGCTGGACATTACGATGCCGATGCCATCAGAGAATGTGCCGAGAAGGTGGCCCTGCACTGGCAGCAGCTGATGCTGAAGATGGAGGACAGGCTCAAACTTGTCAATGCCTCGGTGGCCTTTTATAAAACCTCTGAGCAGGTGAGCTGGACACTGTCATTTCTGGGCCATACTAAGCCAAGTCTGAATCAGTAAAAATTCTTTTTTTCACAAGTATTGTAACACCAAAAAGAACCGAAACTCAAACCAAACAAAACATAACATCCTCCCTGCCTCCCCAAAAAAAGACAAAGAGCAGCATGAAGTTTTTAGTAACTTTCATCCTAAAGTTTTCAGTGTAGCAATGTAATTTATGAAGGTGCTATTTTTTGGGGTTTTTTTTTTCAATTTTCACCTTTCAAACAGGAATAATTTTTGGAATCCCACCACTTTAGTTTCAAGTTCTCATGATACTTAGTTTTGAGGAATGTAAGTCTTCTTTTCCTTGAGAACTGCTTGCAATTAATTTATTGTTACTTTGTGAGCCAATGTTTTCACTAGTACTTAAATACAACCATGCCAAAAAAAGATGCCAAGATTGGAAGGGATTTTTCTTAAATCCACCTGCAACACAGATAATTACAGCAGGAACCCATTATATGCTAACACAACTCTACTTCATTCCAGGTGTTCATGAATTGCAAAACACATTCCAGTTGGCTGCTGGCAGGGTGGGATTATTCATCCCTTGCACAAGCAGGTGCCCTTTATACTGTAGTCAGTGAGAATTAGTGTCACAGTGTGGCTACTCGAGCAGCCCAGCCTGATGTCAATTACTGCAGCCAGGCAGTTGGTGTTAGCAGGGACACTGCAGGAACCTGTGGTTTTACACAAAAGGCAGCAGTGATTGCCAGGACATTTTCTATTGTTATTGCCACACAGTGAGATCCTCAATTAGAGAACCAGACAGGGGAAGATTTTTAACACAGCTAGATAATTCATTAGGGAAGGAGTGTACTTTTCCTTAACTTGGAGGCTGTAGATGATCCTTGGGCCACTTTTTGGTGTAATTTGTTTAATGTATTTTTAAGACAGTTTAAGAGGAATTCATTCCTTATAATTAATATATTTCACTGAGAAGAGTTTCAAACAGATTTACAGTCCCTGATGGATTCAAGACCAAAATGAATTACTACTGATGGAGGAGTGTGAGAAATGAAAACTGTTAGGGGATTCATTAGAGCTTTAGGCAGTTAAATGTGCTGGCCAAAATATGCACTGCCAGTAATTTATCAGTTCAATCTCTTGCTGTTTCCAAGTCTCAGATAAGCATACTGCAGTGCCCACCAGTTCATTCATTGGTTGTGTCTATTCAGCAAATGTGTAGGGCAAAAATCGTTCAGTCTTTGAATGCTCATGAACTCATGCTGCAAGCCTGTCATCTTCTCTTGGGCTGCACAGCTGATCTACAGTCCTTAAGGGTCTGCTCCCTGACTGCCTGACAGTGGAGTGAATAATTTACTGGATCCTGAATGCTCTGAGTATCTAGAAAAAGGAGCTAAAAGAACAGTGTGTCTAAGGAGAGTGTCACATGCAGCCAAACTTTTTCATGCCTGTCTTCCCCAAGTATATTATGTTCTTGATATTAGTGGTGAAACCCTGGATTTCAAATAACCCAGTTTCTCTCTGACTTCATTGACAGCCTATTTTATATTCACTTCTCTCATCACCCTAACAGAAAAACGGTATTTGCCTGTGCAGGGACAATTCTTTCTGGAAATATGTGAATCCCAGGCAGTCCATTTATTTTCATTCTTTAAGCCACCAAAGTCCAATAGAATGTCAAGGTTTTCAAGAAGTAAAATGGAAATGTTTTTCTGTGCCTAAATAACACATGAAGCACTTGCTCTTCACTAGATTGAGGCTGAACGCTGGTTTGCATCCAAGCAAGAAGATGATTTCAGATTGCCAAGTGCATGAGGTCCTTGCATAATGCATAGTGAATAAGCCTGGCAGCAGGATCAGTTATCAGCTCACCTTAGTTTTAAAGTGGACTTAAAAGTGGACTTCAATGTGCTGTTGATCAGAGTTATATGAAAATGGCCTGTGATAGTGGGGATGACTGGGGAGTAATTCTGGTGTCTACTCCAGACTGTGCTCTTAATCACGTGGGGTCCCCTGAATTACAACTGTGTTCATACTAAAGCTGCAAGAGTGAGCAAGAAGATGATGGACATTGCTGCCTGGATCCCAACAATAGCTGACTGGGTCATCTCAGCTCTAGAGTCTGTAGGAAGAACCCTCTGTGAAAGAAGAAGAAAGTTCCAAGTGTACTGGGAAACTTTTGCTGTGTCTGCACAGGCCACTGAGAATATTCTCAGGATCTGCAACATAAAAGACTCAGCCTTGTCTGAGGCAAATGCCTAATTTCCAGTGGTTTATTTACCACATTTCCATTGTTCTACTATTCTACCAAGACAGAACATGTGTGTGTGAGACCTGCATCCAGCTAGATTGTGACCCTGATTTAAAGTTTATTGGTTTCCATCAGCCTTTAAAAAATCTGTATGGGGAGCAACTAAAATGCAGCTGAAGAGAATTAGTTCCAGCTTCAGACTTTGTTTCAGGAAAGTATTTAAGCCTGTGCTTTTCTTTAAGTATGTGTTAAGTCCCTTGACTTGAGTAGGATTTAAACATGTTCTGGAATAGGGATTGTTTCCTGAATCATTCACTGGGGCTGGACTGAGCCTTCCTTAATTCAGCCTTTTGTGCTTCCTCCCATTATTCATTAGAAGAGAAGAATGATTTATCAACCTTAAACCAGATAAATTGTATCCCAAATAATAAAGATCCCTATGGGTAAGAAAAACACCTAGATCATTCTGTTTTATACCCAGTTTATACCATGCTGTGGCCCATAGTAAAAAAATGAAATGTTATTGGTCATAGACTTGTACTGAATGTTCTACTCCTGGTTATGATTGTGGCTAACTGAATTGCTGCGCTATGGACATCTTTCAGGTGTGCAGCGTTTTAGAGAGTTTGGAGCAGGAATACAGACGGGATGAAGACTGGTGTGGAGGCCGAGATAAACTTGGACCAGCAGCTGAGATAGACCATGTCATCCCTCTGATCAGCAAACATCTGGAACAGAAGGAGGCTTTTCTCAAGGTCTAATTTTAGTTCTCTAATGAATCAGGAAAAGTCTCCATTAAGTAGACAATTTAGAGCAGTGTTGGTAAGTTTGAGAGGAGGCTCTGCTGTATAATTCCAGTTCAGCTACTGGCTGGCTGTATAAACCCTAGGCCAGTTTTACTTTGTTATAGCAGGGGTAATGAGCATTATTATCAATACATATCTCAGAGAAATGCCATCAAGATCAATTAGGTGGTGTTTGTGCTTGCAGGATGTTAGTTGTGCTGGTTCAAAGTTCAGTTCTTAAAATTGCACTATAAATGACAGGTATTATACATCATTTTGGTGTTGGCTTGTACAAACCATCCAGCATTTCAAATTTTGTCCTCCAAGCCAATAATTGAAGAACTAATAGTAATTGAAGCAAGAAGCAATTTTGTCTCTGCAAAGCAGCACTAGGATGGAAACAGAGATTTCTTCCAGGTGCTGCTTTGGAAGAACCAGGGATCTCCCAGGCTGAAAAATGAAATGTCAGCCAGCCTCTCACGTGCCACTAAAACAGATACACAACATGAAACTACACTTGCAGTCAAGGCTTAAGAAATTACACCTCTAGATTTTTACATTTTTTGAAACAATGAGTACTTTTCTTGAGAGATGGGTTAGATTTCGTTAGACAGAAAATGTGTGAGGTGCTAGTTCTTAACAAGCAGTTGTTTTATTACTTTGCCTTAAAATTAGCCAATATATTAAATATTACTCATGTTTTAATTCATCTGTGAGACTGTTAGTTTATTAGCTGAGTTTATTGACTCTTAGCTGAAATTCTTATCTTCTCAGATGAAAGAGAACTCCTTGTGGTATAAGCAAGAACTCCCTTGGTCCCCTTTGCTTTCTTTGCTCATCTTTACTGATTCTTTTCGTTGGGGGTTGTTCTTCCTAGGCCTGTACCCTGGCCCGGAGGAACGCCGAGGTGTTCCTCAAGTACATCCACAGGAACAACGTCAGCATGCCCGGAGTGGCGAGCCACACCAGAGGGCCTGAGCAGCAGGTCAAAGGTTGGTGCACCAGAGTACTGAAGGTCTGGTTTGCCTCCCCCTCTGCAGTGTGCTCCTCCTACAGTCTGTGAATGTGCTCAGAAGGCAAACTCTGTTCTAGCATCATTTCCTTTACCAGATCACTCCACAACTATGCGCGCTTTGTGGTGGTTTCCTGTGGATGCGGTCTGAGGGTTTGGTTTTGGGTCTGAGGGTTATTTGAAGCAGCCCCTTTGAATCAATGCTTGTTTTTAAGAAGTGTGATTTTGGGCTCTCTGCTTTTGGGAACAAGGTCCAGGCAAAGTGATTCAATTCATTGTTTCATAGCTTATTTCTGAATGCACTCAAGGAATGCCTAGTGATGCAGATGTTTTCCTTTTCCCTACAGCCATTCTGAGCGAGCTGTTGCAGAGGGAGAATCGGGTCCTTCACTTCTGGACCCTGAAGAAGAGGAGATTAGATCAGTGCCAGCAATATGTTGTCTTTGAGCGCAGTGCCAAGCAGGTAGTGTGAAAACCCCACCTTGTCCTTCCGTCCTGGCAATGTGTAAAATCTCCATGTAACACCTCTGTGTGGGGCTCCTGTGGCAATCTCAAGTTGTGTTTAAACACTGTTACTTTTGAAAACGTGGCCAATATAGGTTTTAAAACAACTTAAGACAATTTCAAAACCCAACAACAAGACTCACTATTTTTCTCACCTCAGATTAATTTCTGTACTTGTTCATTTGTTTGAAAGTAAATATAAGAGCAAACTTGTTTTATTGAGCTGTTCCTGAATGAGAGAACTGTTTTCCCTGCAGCTTATATAGGTAGAATTCCCTACACTCTTTTTTGTCCTAGGAAACAGAGTACCACTTTGTATCCTTTCCCACCCACTTTCATTATTTTATTCTTTTTATGTGTTCCTAGACAGTGTTTTAGTATACAGGGTATTAAGTCCCAATGCATTTGATATTCTTTGTCTGGCAGGTTTGTTTGTTTTTTTTGTCAGAGGATTAGTTCTTGAAATACAAAAACTGTTTATTTTGTTTTTGCTTTGGTGTTTTTGATATTCACAGGCCTTAGACTGGATCCAAGAAACAGGCGAATATTACCTCTCTACTCACAACTCCACAGGGGAATCAGCAGAAGAAACTCAGGAGCTCCTGAAGGAATATGGGGAATTCAGAGTACCTGCCAAAGTAAACAGTTCCTTTAATCTAATTATGCCATCTGCTTTAGTCTGTATTTATGGCCCTGTTTCAATACCTTAAATCTCTGTAATAATATTCTCTTGATTTTATAGTTGCTCTCTAAAAATCCTAGTCCTGAAGACAAATGACTTTTGAGAACTTTTAGCAAGATATAGACACAAAAAGGAGGTTTTTTCCACCTTGATTATTAGTGGTTATAGAAAATTTCTGCTCCGATCAGAAGGAAGAGAAAGTCCATTTTCATACAGAGTTCACAGCAATCTAATAAGACATTCCATCCTCAAACAATCATTCCAGAATGGCATAGAGTGACTAATTGATCTGAACACATCCAAGGTCACAATGGACTCCTGGTCTTTCTCTTCTGTCATTAAAACCACAATTTGTCTCACTAATTCCAGCTGGGTTGATCACAGATGATCATTTATCTCATTAGAAATAATCTGCTGATCCCACCAAAGTACTTTAAATAGATGAGTCTTTAAACTCCGGGGTGAACATTTTTGAATACAAAACTGCATTACCAAGAATATATTAATTTATATGGAGCAATTCTGGGAAATCTGGTGGAGTTTACACAGGAATGGTGATTGGATCTGCTTCAGACAAATTAATTCAAACCATGGGTAATTTATAGACAGTGAATCCACAGGGGTATTAACAGTCTTTGATAAGGATGTAAATTGCAGAGTTGGACTGCAGGAAGACCATGGCTTTGGCATTATGTAGCTGCATTTAACCGTGTCCTGAAATTGATCTTCTATAATCCTTAAATTCCTCCTTAGGCTGTCCATGCTTGTATGGGTTTGATTCACATGCTTTGTGGTGTTCTTGTCCACTTCTTTTAGCTTAGCTTGCATGTTTCTGAAAATGTGAGATAACTAGCAGTGGATGGAAGGTAATTTCTTCAGACAAGACACATATGACATTTTTTTAACTACTTCTGAATTCTAACCATGCATAATTACTCTCCCTAAAATTACATTCTGGTTCATAATTTTTTATCAGAATAATCCAAATTCATAACAAAGTTTCCAAACCGTTTGGACTCTTGACTTAGCCTAGGACTGAATTTTAGATGTCACTCATTATTAACCATTACTGCCTGTTTCTTTCACTGGCACATCTAAGTCTTGTTCCCTTGGGCTGTCCTACAGCTCCTAATGATGATGTAGAATATTTTCACTGCCATATGCAATCTGGTAAATGCATGTCATTCCCAGACTGATGTTATTCTCAAATTAAGCTGTAGCTGAAAGTTTTCCTGATCCCAGTAACTTTCTGGCCAAACCAATTGTTTGGAATGCAAAACCACCAGTAGCTTTTGGGAAAGATCACCCTGTAAATACTACAGGAAGTTAGATTTTTACATCACCATACCTAGCCTTGCTTAGGTACCCATTTGATTTGTTAGGATAATGTCTGATTCAGCTTTTAACCTATTATGGTGATGAAAGTTCTTTAATTTAGCTTCGTGTTGAAACCTGCTGGATGTTTTCTGGTGTGATGTGTTTTTGTCCATTTGTGGTCTGATCACTGATAATGTCAGGTATCTGAGAGTGTGTCTTGCTTCAGGCATGGTGGAACATCCTCTCTGTCTTTGACAGCAGGTTTGCCAGTGCCTCATTTCCTGGGATAGATTTGGAATTACAGCTAACTAGTTTATAACTAGGTCCTTTGGGCCAGTTTTGAATAAGGGGCTGTCAGAGCCTAAGAACAGAAGACATCTCTGGGAGGTTTGGGGGTTCAGTGTGTTCTTTGGAGTTCAGGCATCTTTTAGCTGGTTCTAACTGCACCTAAAATAAATACTGGTGGAGTGTGGTGGCCCACAGCTGGCCTGGAGGCCTCACAGTTATAAACAATCCCAACTTTATAATTGAAACATGATTGATGATATAATTACCTTGCTTATGTAACTGGAGCAGTAAGGCCCGTTGGAGACAGGCCCAGGCCGTTGCTATTGGCTGGCTGGGCTGGGTGGCGACTGGCTCAGCCAATGGGGATTGACCACCCGTGCCTTCCGGTCTATATAAGGAGAGGTCCCAATAAAGTTGGCTGTTGCTGCACGACCTTCGGGTGTGTTTGTCGCTGTCCTGCCTCCGATACATCACTGTGACATCTGGTGAACCCCGAAGTGATTTCAACAAGCCCCCGTGTGTAGAGCAGAGGAGGCAGGAAGGCAGTGGGAACAGCTGCCTGCAGTGTGCAGAGCTGCTACCCGTGGCGTGTAGAGCCGCGGAACCCCGGGAAAGGCAGAGTGCAGAGCTGCAGAAGACGCTGTGGAGAGCCGTGTTTGAGTCCAGACTCCCTCCCCCTTTGGGGAATTAAGAAGCCACTGGGATGGGAGCATGTTGCTCTACAGCAGAGAAGCCTACCCTGCAGGTATGGACACCTTTGCTAAAGAAACGTGGTCTAAAGTGTGACAACCGGGCTCTAACTGCCCTGCTAATGTGGTGCAAAAACCAGAAACTGAATGTGACTGAAAGTGTCGCTTTAGATTTTAAAACATGGGACCAGGCTGGCAGGCTCATACTTCAAGCAGCTGCTATTGGAGACGAGGCTGCTGTTGGCATTATTAAGCCTTGGAGACTCAATGGACCTGCTAAGGCAGCTACAGGAAGAGCAGAACACAAGGGCAGTGGAGGAGGCACTCACTGGATGAGGAGAACCAGGCATTGGGAGAGTTGGCAGCGTGGCTACCGCTCTGGGCGCACAGTGAAACAAAACGGCCACGTGGAACTGAGCCGTCACTCCGGGACGCCTCTCCCATGGAGCACACTGTGGCCACTAGAAAGTGCCTTGTCCCATGCCAGGAGGTACAGACAGCAGAACCCAGCCCGGCCACCCCAGAGTGGAACCTAACCATGGAATAGCTGTGCCTAGCGCTGGAGCTGATTCATGGATGGATCCCAGAAATACATCACCACAGGTCCCCAGATACCCAGCAAACATCATACCCAGAAGCAGTGGTGGACCACTGGGTCTGAAAGTTGGTGCCACATGCACTGCTACCAGAGCTGGAGTTACCTGTGGAACACCTACTGGCTAGGGGCACCAAAAGCCAGAGCCACCATTTTTCTGCAGACCCCTGAGACAAAGCCATCATCAGTACAACACCAACAGCCGTGCCTGATCCAGTCAGCATTTGGCACCAAGTAAAGCTAGCAATGATAGCAAGTGGGGATTATGAAGCTGCAGAAGTGATTGATGTGCCATTATGAGGAAGTCGGGAACCTGAATATGGCACAATTGAAGCATACCTGGTAATAAGGGGTGGTGGAAAAACACTGGATAATTATGCACCTTTTCAGTGGCCAGTTCGTTCAGAACTGCATCAGCTTGTAGCCAAGTACAGCCTGGGCTCACCTGCTGCCACCAATATGCTGCGGTTTATAACAGAGGAGGTTACTCCTTTTGATACTAAACAGCTTGCTAAACTAATGTTTACAACAGTCCAATATATGGTCTTTGAGTCAGCATAGTGACACTGTGCAGAAAAACAGGAATAAAGAAACCTAAAGGTCCCCTGAGAAGACCCACATTATGAAGTTGGGTTCTCTCAGCTTTTAGGATTACCACCATTAGCTTGCCCTTGCCTCCAAGCCAGGCTAGATCCACCAGTGCTGGCACAAGTAAAGGATTTGGGGATGCAAGCATTGCTCAAGGTCATGAACATGGCAAATCCAACCCAGACCTACTCAAAGACCAGTCAGGGGCTTATCAATTATCTACAATTCATAGAAAGACTGCAAGATGCAATGGAGAAACAATGAATAAATGTTGAGGCCAGAAACCAATTAGTTTTACAGTTGGCCAAGGGCAATGCTTATGAGGACTGTTGAAGGTTCTTAGAACTGTTGCCAAATGAGAAGCCATCCTTGGATGAGATGATAAATGCTTGTGCCAAGGTTGGATCCAATGCCCACAACATGTCCTTGTTAGCAGACTCCATAGCGGCAGCTGTGAAAGTGACACCCCTGTGCTACAGATGTGGAAAACCAGGCCACCTAAAAGCCAACTGTCCTCATAAGTCTACTCTACCAGGGACAATTCACAGACAAAGGAATACAGCTTGTAGCCAGTGTGGAAAAAACAATCCAGTGACCAGACAATGCAGATCCTGAATTCATTCTGACACAGTTTCCTTTAAGGACCAGGGAAACGGAAGACCCAGTGTGAAGGGGAGAAACACATGATGATACAAACATCTTCCCGCCTTCCTGTCTGAGCCTATGTGACCAGCTCACGGGAGGATCAGAGACACAGCCGGAATGGATGTTTCCACATCCATCTTAACAACCATAAGCACTTTAAAGGTACACAGGGTCCCTCTCAAGGCCCACAGGCTCATCTGGAGAGGACTGAGTGCACTGTTTATCAGAAGATCCAGTGCTAGTCTACAAAGTATTTTTGTGCACCCTGGCATTATTGATATAGGTTTCACTGGGAAGATACACGCTTTGGTTTCAACCCCTACTCCACCTGTGACAATCCCTGCAAAAACACAAATTGCCCAACTCATCCCTTTTAAGTCTCTTGTCCTCAAAACAGAGCTGATAGAGCGAGGAAACTGAGGCTTCAGATCCATCGGAAAACCCCAGACACCGGAACACAGTGGATACCAGGTGTGCCCTACATCATGGTCAGGACCAGAGACAACATCCTCATGATGATCCTCCAGTGAGGAGACAAAGAACTCTGCACGATTCAATGTGAATTACGCAAAAGCTGTTGTGCTTTTAAACATTGTTTATTTACTTCTTATCTTGGTCTACACAGTCACACATTGTTTAATTGGTAGCTCCACTTTGTCCATGAGGCAAGCATGCATCTCTTTCTTAATCTAATTGGTAGATGCTGTAAACATCATTTTACTCGCTTTGACACCCCTTTGTCAGTCAGCAACTTTTCTGCTTCTTTCTTCTTTCAACATCAGCTTTTTTATCCACAAAGATGACCTCCTTCCAGAGGGTTCCAGAGGGTTAGGCTGGTTCAGTTAGTACCTGTCCATTTTCCTGTAAATATAATCCTACACTCCAGCAGATGTTGAGGAGCAGTGACTTAAACAACTTGCACACCTGCCACACAGAGAACTAGAACTTGAGATGACAAGTCTATCTATTTATGGACATGAAGGTTTTATACATATTTAAATGTGAGGACTTGACCTGAAAATTTTGAGGCAGATTGTTTTTCTTCACGGTTGTTTTTCCTACAGTTCTGAGAGTTGAAATGTTTCTTGTTTTTAGAGTTAAGTTGTAAATTTATAATTTTTAATCTATAATCCTGCAGCATGCCAATTTGGTAACTTGCATTGTTAGTGGCTCTCCCTGACAGCTCCAGAGAGTGAATGTTACAACTTCAAAGGTGTATGGGATCATCACCAACTGAAAAGAGGCTGGGCCTCTCAAACTGAGTTGAAGGTCTCCTTCAAGCTTTTCAAAGCTTAAAAGGATTGAGGTTTTTACACAATACTGTGTCTGTCATCTTGTCTGCAAGGGCCCTGCAGAGGATGACAGACACTGTTTTCTATTTAAAAATAAAAAGGGGGAATTGTGGTGGCCTAAAGCTGGCCTGGAGGCCTCACAGTTACAAACAATCCCAACTTTATAACTGAAACGTGGTTGTTTATATAATTACCTCGCTTAAGTAACTGGACCAGTACGGCCCGTTGGAGACAGGCGCAGGCCATTGGGTATTCGGGCTGCTATTGGCTGGCTGGGCTGGGTGGTGACTGGCTCAGCCAATGGGGATTGACCATACATGCCTTCCGGTGTATATAAGGAGAAGAGGTTTCAGTAAAGTTGGCTGTTGCTGCACGACCTTAGTGTGTGTTTTTGGCTGTCCTGCCTCTGACACATCACTGCCACGATGGAGGATTTTATAGTAGACCATGAATTTGGATTTAAATTCTGTTTCTTTTTGAAACAGAGTATTAATGACTCAAAATCACTTCCTGGGCTGATATGTGGTTTATTGATGACCTTTCTACACAGATTTTCAGATCCACCAGGTATAGATTCAGAGTAACTTGGTGCATTTTATGAGGTGTGATTTTAAAATCTTGTCTTCTGCTCCAAGGCTCACCAAAAAATAAGCCCTTTCTTGTGGGAAGGAGCCATGTATAGCTGCCAACATATTTTATGTCTTTGTGTCTGTGGGGTTTCAAAAACTTGACTTTCTATCTTCTTCAGCTTCATAAGTGTCCTTATAAAAATGTCATTCCATGTTTTACTGAAAAAGTTTGAAGTATCTCATTCTGTACAGACACTCTTTAATGATATATAAAAATAGTGAGCTTCTTTTGACTGCTGTGTGTGTTAAAAGCAATGGAAATAATAATGAAACATAACCAAGGACCATATTTTGGGCAGCAAACAAAGGAGAAAGTGAAGCTCCTCATCCAGCTGGCTGACAGCTTTGTAGAGAAAGGACACATACACGCCACTGAAATTAGGAAGTGGGTCACCACCGTTGACAAGCGCTACCGGGACTTCTCTCTCAGGATGGGGAAATACCGCTACTCCCTGGAAAAAGCCCTTGGAATCAACCCAGAGGTACTATAAGACCCTGTCCTGTCGGGGTTTTGTGCCAGAGTCACAGAGGAAGGTGAAGCCTCTGGTATGAATGCTGTTGGTTTCCGTGTGGCCATTAGAAACAATGAAAACTCAGCCAGCCCACCTGGCCATGCTCAGAACTGCTTCTGGAGAAAAAGGGTTAAAGTTTTTTTCTGTGGTAGGTCAGTGATGTGAGGAGAGCCAGATGAAGACCAGAAAGATTTTCTAAACAAGTGTTTGCACCATTTTTCAGGAGGGAGGGTTCATTATTCAGGGGAATAATGAATTATTCAGTTAATTAATTGAATAAAAGTCTGTGTTAATCTTGGTGTAAACTATAAATCTTCCCACACCATTATTTTTGTGTCAAACTCTTAAGTTTTCATTGTCTCATCCTTTAACATAAACAACTGATCCCCAGCCTCATCTCTGAACTCTTTCAAGGGAAATAGAGCATCATAAGAAGCAAAAATTAGGATCTCCTGCTATTCCCTGGCCATATTATTAAGGAAGAGTGCCATAAGCAGAAACACTTAAAAACCTTTCAGTCAACAGCTCTCTGGAATTAAGTATCAAGAATAAGGAATAAATTTCCTCACACCCTCATAATGCTTTAACTGCACTGTTCCTTGTTGGGCCTCTGGTTTACACAGAGTTCTGACCACAGTCTGGAAAGGTATTCCATGGTAAATGGCCACTGAAAGTTGTCTCTGCATGGTGCTCTACTTTATCAGACTGTTTTTTATCAAGTCCCGTAATAGACAACTATTTTAGATATGAAAGAGTAAGGTAATTTAGACTTTTTTATCAGTATTGATTCTTAGCTAGGAGAAACAGTGAAGATTACAATGAATATAATTTCTGTTTTTTTAAGATTCTCTCTCAGCTTTTTATCTTTTCTCACAGTACTTCTGCTTCTCTCCAAATTTCCTCCTTTTTGATATTATCTTACATTTGTCCCTTCTTACCTCTTTGATCTCATGAACATGCTGCACTTTGCACAACAGTAAGATTGCAATGAAGTTCAACTCTGTACCTTTTTTTCTTTTCTTCCCTAGGATAACAAAGACCTAGAACTAGATATCATTCCAGCAAGTCTTTCAGACCGGGAGGTAAAGCTGAGAGATGCAAATCATGAAGTCAATGAAGAAAAAAGGAAGTCAGCCAGAAAAAAAGAGTATGTTCCCAGACACTCTGTCTGCATGGCACAGTATCTGCTAAAGAATAATTCTGTGGTATTTGCATGACCAGGACTGACTGACAGTCCTGTAACTCCTTCCAGCTGCAGAGCTACTGAGATAAGTCTGCAGGTGTAGGGCAGAAATTGTTACTTGTAGGTCAGAGAATTTCAGAACATAAAGGTTGAATTTGTTTTGGTTTTAATCAGAAGTTAGAAAGGGAAAGCAGTGAGTCAAGCACTTGGATTAACCTTGATGTGGTGGAGTTGCTTATTGCTGTCTTGTTGTATGTAAAAAGTAACATGGGCGGGAAAAAATAAAGAGCATCTTTGGATGTCTAAGTATTATCTAAACATCAGTGACCCAAGAGTTCACTTGAAGTTTAGGTTCAAATTTCAGCAAGTGTAGGACTGAGAGACCTGGAAATAGTTCACACTAGAGGAAATACTGGAGAAGTGCTTGTTGCATTTAAATCCATAAACACTAACTGTTTTCACAGTATCCTGTCTTATTTTTTGTGTAAGAATATTGGGAAAGTGTTTCACAGCCCTCTGAAATTGTCACTACAGGTCATGATTGATAAGAAACCACTTATACTTTAGAAAATGTTACACTTGGTCTACCTGTGGCAAATTTGCAAAACATAAAGAATTTCAACTTTGAGGGGCCCAGCCTCAGGGTCTACAAATACCATTCTTGCATTTCACAGCATCTGGATTTTCTCTGGTCAGGTACGAAGCTGTTGAAGTCTCTTCAAAGTAGTGGTGTCTCCCAAATCCATTTCTGTTGCCCCTGAAGGTAAAGTTTTAGGGTGACTTCCCACTGACTGTCAGCAAAGATGCAGATGTTGTTGGTGAATCCTTAATCCTTGGTGCAAAAAATTTCTGAGAACCGGCTGATAGTTCAGGATGGGCCTGTAGATGGTAAATCCCATGGACTCGGGGTTGCAGGAATACAGCTTAATAGGATTTTGTGCAGAAAAGATTTTTAGAAAAAACTCTACCAGGGACTGGATTATGAAGTGGTATTTTGATCATGGACTGAAAAGTGCAAAGTAAGGCAGCTGAAAGTCTAGGTTGGAAATATGCTTATTCCTTAATACAACAGGAGGATGTTTTGTTTTCTGTTCATTGTAGAAATGCTCATAATGTCCAAAACACCTAAAATACTCCATTTTTTTTTATTTTTTTTTTCAGATTCATTATGGCTGAGCTGCTGCAGACAGAAAAAGCTTATGTCAGGGATTTACATGAATGTTTAGAGGTAAGTTATGGCCCAGGAGGTCTCCTGTATTTCCTGGAAGCACATGTTGTCCTCTGCAGTGGGAATGTTCACTTTAATGCACAGGCTGTGCACACTGATTCAAGAAGCCTTTCCTTAAGGATTCAAATCTATTCCTTTGAATCATCTCCTGCTAGAGAAACTTCTGGATTTGCACAGTCAAATACCTTGTCTTGCTGTACAGAAGGGTGTTCCTAAAGTAGATAGTGATATTCAAGGCAAAAATCAGAGTGTAATTCAGTGAAATCTGTCAGCTTTCACATATCTGCAGTCTGACAGATTTTTATGTGTCTAATGCTACTGAAGTGGCAAATCTGGCTTATCTTTTCAGCAGTTTCTGCCTGCAGTTTTTGGACACCTTCAGGTGGACAGCAAAGACAGGTGTTGTTGGCCTGTTTCTGCTTTTTCTTCAGACAACTTCAAAGCATCAGCACTTTAAATTTCTCTGGAGAGCTTTCTGTAACATTGGAAAATTATTTTTTTATAATTTAGCTTGTTTATTAATCTCAAAGTACGTAGTTCCTTTTCAACCTGTGTCTCTGGCAATAAAACAGGGAGATCTATTCTTTTCCACTGTATTTATTCACAAAATTAAGAGTTTCTGGTGTCTTCCAGACTTATCTCTGGGAAATGACGAGTGGAGTGGAAGAAATACCAGCTGGGATCCTTAATAAAGAACACATCATCTTTGGCAATATTCAGGAGATATATGACTTCCATAACAAGTAGGTTTTCTTAACAGTTCTGCTAATGTTCAGGCACTTGTGCATCTCTGTGGTGTCTCCAGAGAATCCCTACACACACACCTGAGTGTAAAATAATTGATCCAAATTTGCAAAATAGTGTCTGATTTCTTGCTTTGTTTCTTTTACAAAAATGAATTGCAACTTACTTCTAACTTCACCTTCAGCTGATCAACAATGTTAAAGCCATATTATACCAGTGGATCTAGTCTGGACGCTTGCCTGTCAAAAATATGATCTTGGAAAACACAAAGGGGAGACAGTGGAATTGTTGGCATGAGCTGGGTTAATAAGTAGCTTTCTGCCACTTCTTGGAGACTTTCTGTATTTAATCTGTAACTAACAGTACCCCATCTTGTTAAGATAAGACTGTGTACCAGATCAGCTTAGAGGGCATTGTTTCCATGGTATAATGGGAATGCAACAACAGTTATAAACTTCACATTTAGGGGTGCTGGATCCAACAAGTTCAGTCTGAATTCCAAATCTGTCTTCAGGTTACACTTTAAAAACAAACCAGAGAATCCTTCCCTCTTTTAGTTCTAGGACATTTCAAGAGCTTCATTCAGATAAATGTGCTAGCACATAAACAGGGCCCAGCAGAGCAGAGCATGCCCTGTGCATGTTTTTGTGCAAACAGCTTCAAAGCATATCAGGATAGCAGCCTGACTGCCTTCCCACTTCCCTTTCTCTTTGGTGCTATATTTTTGTTCTGGTGGCCCTGCCTGATGCCATCTGATTTCCCTCCTTTTTGAGTTTCCACTGTTCCCAGCTACCATCCCTCCAGCCCTCAGTCATATCACATAGCTTCTCACTGCTGTCATTTCTGTTTTCTCTGACCCCTCCTCCTGCAGCCTGCTGCTTCTGCATAATCATTTTTTCCTCTAAAATTTCTTTCTCGTTATGCTAAAATAAATTTCCCCTGTCCCCTCTACCAGTGTCCTCCACAGCCTTCTCTTTCAGATGGTGATCTTAAGGCATCCTCCAGCCTGATTCAAAATGTCCATGTCCAAGGAA